TACTTGTGAATTAATGAATTCAATAATAACAATTATTCATGAATCTTTAAATTGATTGAAATACAGAATTGTTTGCTAAATCTTTAAATAAATATTTTATTATTTAAATATATATTGTTTGTATATAATTCCGTTTTATAAAAATTTGTCTCGAATAAAGAAGAAAATTAATGTTTAGGCACGGGACATTATTAGAGTTTGAAAAATCTTCTGTTGGTTTAAATCACAGGCTTAGAAAATATGTCATGTACATATTTGCATGATTTAAATATTCTTACAATCTTAGTAAAAAGTTGGTATCACTGTTTCCAACTGTAAATACATTATGTACCACGACCACGTGTAACCACGCAACTTATTCATCCACAAGGTGACAGGGAGGCTGCCACTGCCACGAATCAATTGTAGCTGTGAGCTGTTACTGTGATCATTACATTACCTAACCTAATATGATTTAAGCTACCGGTCATAGTGTAACACAGATTTGGAATTAATAATATACTTCATTTACGAGCGCAGTAGACAATTATCAATTAAAAGTGACGTATAGAATAAAAATGAATCAGTTCATAACCGTTTGCATTTTATTAGTTTGTGCAATTTCCAGAATTTCTGGCGAAACTTGCCAAAAGCCAGAAGTTGTTGCATCTGCATATGTTACAAAAGATGCTACAATTTTAACAAACGTTGCGTTCACAACGCAATTTGTGCTTAAGTGTAGCAATGGTGTAAAAGGCATTACATTATATGCAGAAGTAGAAGGAAAATCATTACCAGCTGCTAGATTAAGCTCTGACAATAAATATCAGGTATGAACTTTATTTTAAAGCTTATATTTATTCAATTAATTAGATCGAAAGTCACGCAAACAACATGTACAGAGTTTTAGATGGATCAATCATAATGCAGTAACATTAATTTTTATAGGTTTCTTGGACAGAAGATGTAAAAAAGGCACGTTCTGGTGATTATAGAATAAATTTGTACGATGAAGAAAGATATGCAGCTATACGTAAAGCTATTAGAAATGGGGAAGATCCCAGCACTGTGAAACCTTTAGTCGTGGTAGTACTTAATAATCCAGGAGTTTATCTAGGACCATGGGTTAATTCAGAACTGCTTGCTGCTTTATTAGCAGCTTTAGTCACTTATTCTGCCTTTTCTGCTAAGTTCAAGCTCTTAGCTTGAACACTATCATGACATAATTTTTTAAATAAATTATTATAAAAATTGAATGTTTTAATGAATTATTAATATAGTAACATGGTTACCTTATTATGATTTATTGTCATTTAGATATTCTTTCAAATACACTTTTATAATATAATAATGATAAAGTTGTATTTGATGTATCTTACTTAATATATTAATTGAACCTTTTAAATAAATCCTTTTTAGAAAGATTTCAGTTTGATAGATTATAAAATAAAGTCAACCTTTATACAATCAGTATTTAATTTATAGACAACTACATGAGAAAGTTAAAATATTTCTGGCGCAGGTGGGTTACCAAAAAGATATTCCCAAGATGGTGGATATATAACATTAATACCAGTATCAGAATTAGTTTCTAATATGTTCAACCACTGATTCAAACCTTTAAGTAACATTAATGCATCAGAAACATTATCTCCTTCCGAACAATAATAAAAAAGTACAGTACAAGGAACATTCACTGATCTGAGGTAATTGTAAAGTCCATTTGCAAATCCTCCTCCAGGAATGTAACAGTTTTCTGTAGATTCTACTGAAGTCCTTGTTGTATGCTCCTTCCAATGAAGAGATTGAAGAAGTTGTTCATTATTTAATAATGAATTATCCGAAGAAAGATACCTTAATCTTGAATCTGATCTATCCAATCGTTCATAATCATAACTGCTAGTTAAAATTATTATCTATAAAAAAATGATTACTTACCATAAAAAATATAATGAAGTAATCAATTAAGTATTTAATGGAATACTACATACCTTGCTAAGTTTTTTTAGTTGAATAAATTGTACCAGTTTCTTATAAAAATCAGTTGAATTACCAACATAAGGAGATCTTAATTGTAGCAATATTATTTTACAAGTAGTTTCAAGATAAAAATCAGCAGCTGTACACAGGGAATTAGACTTTTTGTCATAAGGATCATGACCAATAATTGGTAGGAACATTGAACTCCACATTGATCCGATTTTCTGTAGATTTAAAGTTGATATCAATAGATCAATAGATAATTGTCCAACATTTCCAACTGCCACCGAAGGAAGTATTAGGGTATAATCTTCAAGATCAATTTCTTCTGCTATTTTTATCATTTCTGTGTAATAAATTATAAATAAATACCTATTTTAATTATAATTTCTATAACGTTTATTTATACAAACCTATGTTGTAAAAGTATCACTATTACAATGATGTTTAAATGAAGTAAACACTCGAGTACAAACTTGAAAACTGCAAGTCACTGTAACAAAATGATTATTAAATTAAGTTGGTTTACATATGTATATGTACATAGTTTTGGTTATAGGTTTGAATTCTTTCACTTCAATGTGATATGTATAAACTTAAATAAAATCAGTATAATTATTTATATACTTAGAGTATGCTTTAAGTATATATACAATATGAATATAAAAGAAATTTGTACATGAATCACAAAATTATTAACAAACCACTAGAATACACC